TGTCCTCTCCTTCCTAGTCTCTCTCTTCCCCCTCTGCCCTCTTTCCCCTGTGTCTCTCCCATCTCCCTCCCTCCTTTCCCTGTGTCTCTCCCCTCTCCCTCCCTCCCCTTTCCCTGTGTCTCTCCCCTCTCACTCCCTCCCCCCTTTCCCTGTGTCTCTCCCCTCTCCCTCCCTACCCCCTTTCCCTGTGTCTCTCCCTCACCCTCCCTACCCCCTTTCCCTATCTCTCGCCGGTCCGGCTGCACTCCAGTCACTGGTGTCACTGATGGCTGAAGGAGGAGGAGCCTGTCTACCATGCTCCCTCGCGGTTCCTGTGCTGGGAATTGTGGGAACCGCGAGGGAGCATGGTAGACAGGCTCCTCCTCCTTCAACCATCGGTGACTGGAGTGACGGGGGATCGGCGAAGCTGCCACCTGGCCCGGCGGCTCCAGTCTGGAACACGGCCGGGCCCCTCTCAGTGTGCCACCTATGTGGCAGCGCAGCCCCCAGGTGCCGCGGCCCACCAGGAAATTTCCCGGTATTCCGGTGGGCCAGTCCGGCCCTGCCTGGCACCTTGCTATTGTTTCAGCCTGAGTGCAAGAATTATATATATATATATATATATAGTGACAAACTGCCTTTTGTCACAGGTTTGTCATGTGACAAACTGTCTTGTTTCCTTGGCTTATGGAGAAGCCGGATTGCCAGCCTCCTGCCTCATGACTATGGCCCTGGGGTGTATGGCCCTTTAAAAACAGTCTATGGGCATATTGAGACTTTTTGTGACAATGCCCCTTTAAGACTGTGTCCCCAGACTGTATATTATACTGTGTTCATGTCTTTTTCCCATATGGTTCGATAAATGGGGCTTACCGAACCAATTACCGAAGAGGCGGACCACACACAAGTGGAAGTGTGTGCTGGGTGGCCGCTGTTCATACAGTCAAACACGTAGCGGCGGCCATCTTTATTTAGTCGAATGCGGTCAGCGGTGTGTGCCATCAAATTCATGAAACTGAAATCGGCTACACGACCGCACGAACACCACTGACCCTTACCTTCTCTGCAACTTTGACGCTTCAACTAAAATCGAAGTGCGTTTGATGATTCGAACGCCATGCTATACTGGGCTATTTTTATGAACGGCACCCGTTGATGCATGCGAATGGGACGTAGTCAATTTTTCTGTGTAAAATAGACCGACCGCACAGCCCAAATCTATGGAACTCTTTTGGGCAGGAAAGCCATGTTTGCGGCCCGTCAAAAAGGACTCCCACCTAACTTTTAAACCACTGGACCAAATTTTTGAGTATGTTTGTATATGGAGTATGCTGATTCAAAATATGTAACTTTTATGAGAATTGCATGTATGGTTTGGAAGTTATGAATATTGTATGAAACTGTATATTTTCCTGCCTGTGATAATTAAGTTAACCCATTGTGTACAGTAATTATATCACAGGCAGAGGGGAGGGTTTGTGTGTCCTAACTGTGAGTGCCTGACTGTATTATTATGTGTTTGATTGGTTGTTCCACAAAACCATGTGGGTGGTAACTGTGTGTAAAACCTTGCATAAAAGAAAGCCCTTTGGTGCTTATTAAACAGATCATCTTGTACTACCTTCATGAAGTTTTGGCTCGTGTTTGGGGAATTGGAGAACTACACTCTGGGGATTGCTATAATCACTATACTCCCCACGGTATAATCACTAAGCTCTGCTAAGAGCTTGTTCCTGTTCCTGCTCTCTGGAATTCGGAGAGGTCGACTTACTGGAAGCTGGACCCTGGTCTTGGGTCCAGAGTGGGTGGAGACGGAGAGACCCCAATCAAGCTGCGGCGGTTCGTGGGGTCTGCAGTGGTTGTGGTGTTAGGTGGAGTGCTTGGAGCCCTTGGAAGAGCATTTGCCAGCGGAATGTAACTGGTCAGGGTGCCAGCGGTTCAGTTACATGTATATTCTATATATATTTATCTTCATTTATACTATTAGTCTATACTGCACTTTTTTATGATGTATGTTTGACATTGCAATTGCATACTTATGACATATCGCTCTGTGTCCAATCACACTTCAAGTATAGGGTATATATACTTATAGCTGATTCCTTCTTCCTTGCCCTGTCGTGGTTTTTGAATACCCGAGCGTAAATTATTTTCTTGTAAATTTCAAGTTTAGCTGAACTGACTATTCTTGCTCTTGATAATCCTGACCTTGTCTTATTTCTCAGTATAGCTTGGTTGTTTCATCTAAGTGTTGCTTCTAAGTGTGTGGTTGGAGATATTCTGGAGAGTTTTACAGAAACTTCAACTGTCTAAGAGTTGTGCTAAGAGTTTTCTTTTTTACTGTTACAGGTAAGATTCATCTGTAGGAAAATGTTACTGATTGCACAAGGTTTGATTTCCTGTTGGTAATTATAAGGCATTTGATTTGATTAGTTAGCTACTTGCTTTTGATTGCTGTTTAATTTGCTATTGTTTGCAAATAAGCAGAGGCCTACCCAGGTGTTAAACATTTCTAGTGGGTGGTGATTTTAGGAGTTATATAAGGGTTGTTGTCATTAGCTTGGCTAATATAGCTTGGTTGCTTCATCTAAGTGTTGCTTCTAAGTGTGTGGTTGGAGATATTCTGAAGAGTGCTGCTTCTAAGTGTGTGGTTGGAGATATTCTGAAGAGTGCTGCTTCTAAGTGTGTGGTTGGAGATATTCTGGAGAGTGCAGCTTCTAAGTGTGTGGTTGGAGATAGTCTGGAGAGTGCTGCTTCTAAGTGTGTGGTTGGAGATATTCTGAAGAGTGCTGCTTCTAAGTGTGTGGTTGGAGATATTCTGGAGAGTGCAGCTTCTAAGTGTGTGGTTGGAGATATTCTGGAGATAACCTGGAGGTAATCCGAGGTATTCAGGAGGATAAATAATAAGTTAAGATTTGTTTGATTTAAATTATTCACCTCATTGGAATGGCAGACTTAGTTCAGTGTAATAGTTGCTATGCATTTGTTTCACGTTCCACTTTTTGGAGGTGTGGTTGTTGTCTAATCTGTAGACAGTTCTCTATCTTGCGGTAGGAGATTGTATTTTTGAAGTCTGAGATTTGTAAATTATCTGGTAAACAAACTCAGACTGGAACTGCTGCAAAGCCACTGCCGCAGAGACATACTAGGAATGGCAGATGGATTACTGAAGGATCTGGTAGACTTAGAGTTGTGGATAAAAGGCATATTGCTCTACATAATTCATTTTCTGCACTTTCAGAGTGTAATGGTGTTATGGAGACAGGCACTGAGTGTAGTGGTGTTGTGGAGAGAGGCACTAAGGCTAGTGGTGTTGTGGAGACAGGCTCAGGTACTGAGTCTAGTGGTGTTGTGGAGACAGGCTCCGGCACTGAGTCTAGTGGTGTTGTGGAGACAGGCTCAGGCACTGAGTCTAGTGGTGTTGTGGAGACAGGCTTGGAGACTATGGTGAGGCCTAATAGAAAGCAGTTGTTGGGGGATTCCATCATAAGAGGTGTGGAGATGGACAATGGTGGTCTTGTGAGGTGTCTTCCCGGAGCTACTGCTCACAGAGACAGGAGACATATCTGTAATATTGTTAAGCGAGCAAAGCAAGGGGAATTGGATGTACTTGTCCATCTAGGGACAAATGACTTGGCTTGCAATGAGGTTTCAGAGGTTAAGGAAGTTTTTTGTGTTTTTGCCAATGATATACGGTTACTCTCACACTGTCATTCTCTGAAGTTCTGCCTGTGCATAACACTCAGAACAACAGGCGGATGCGTATTAGGGACTTTAACTTGTGGCTTGTTGAATGGTGTCGGGAGCAAGGATTTGGCTTTATTTCTCATGGTAGCTCTGTTTGTAATGGAAATAAACTGTACAAACAAAATGGTTTGCATCTTTCTCAAAAGGGAACAAATGTTCTCAGTGAGCAGTTCAGAGGTTGTGCTAGGATGTATTTAAACTAGGAGGGGGGGGGGGCAAAAGGCTGATAAAACCTCAATCCAATTGCCCCCCAAAACAAGGACAGAAGGTGCCTGTAGCAAGTGTGTTAAAAAATTATAAGCTTAGATTCATGTCTAAAAATGCTCGCAGTTTAGGGAATAAGATCCATGAACTTGTGGCAATAATTGCAACTGATAGTGTAGATTTAGTTGCTGTTACTGAGACATGGCATAATGAGAAAAATGACTGGGACATAGCAATACCAGGGTACTCTTTATATAGAAAAGACAGGGGGAGGGGTGGCCCTGTATGTGAGGGATGGCATAAAATCTAGCCTACTAAAAGTTAGTGCGGCGAACATAGAGTACGTTTGGGTTACGTTAGAATCACACAGTAACTCGTGTAGGTGTGATTTATAGGCCCCCAGGACAAACTGAAGAGTTAAATAATCTACTAGTTGCGAAAATAGCTAAAATGACAATGAAGGGGGAAGTTATTATCATGGGTGACTTTAATCTTCCTGATGTGAATTGGAAAACAAAAATAGCTGCTTGTGCCAGTAGCACACATATTCTAAACTCCCTAGTGGGATTGTCTCTAAAACAAGTCGTTGAGAAGTCAACTCGTAAAGAGGCCATACTAGATTTAGTGTTAAAAAATAGAGATTTATTATCAGATATTACTGTAGGTGAAAGTTTAGGATCCAGTGATCATCAGTCAGTGTGGTTTAATATAAGAACAGTGACTGAGTCACACCACACAAAAACAAAAGTTTTAGACTTTAGAAAAACAGACTTTTGTAAAATTAAAATATGTGTAAAGGAGTCATTATCAGACTGGAGCAATTTAAATAGAGTCCAAGAGAAATGGGATTATTTAAAAGTTGCACTACTGAAGGCAACAGAAAATTGCATTAGTCTTGTCAGTAAAAGCAAAAAATTCAAGAAACCACTGTGGTACTCTGCAGATGTGTCCAAAATAGTAAAAAACTAAAAGTTAGCATTTAGTAATTATAAAAAACCCAGAGTGAGGAAGACAGAATGATCTATAAGATTAGGCAGAAAGAGGCTAAGCAAGTTATAAGAGCTTCCAAATCACACATAGAAGAGAAAATAGCACAGTCCGTAAAAAAGGGGGACAAAACTTGTTTTAGATACATAAATGAGGAAAGAAAAGTAAAACAAGGATTAGTTAGATTAAAAACAAAAGAAGGAAGGTATGTAGAAGAGGATAAAGGTCTAGCTGACTGCCTCAATTAAATTTTTTGTTCGGTATTTGCAGATGAAAATGAAGGAAAGGGACCTCAGTTAAGAAAAAGGATAAATTAGTCATTTATTACATGTGAGTTTACAGAGGAAGAGGTTCTATTTCAACTGTCAAAAGTAAAGACAAATAAGTCAATGGGACCTGATGGAATACACCAAAAGCTATTAAAAGAGCTTAGTGGTGTACTAGCAAAACCATTAACAGATTTATTTAACCAATCATTGTTAACAGGAGTAGTCCCAGAAGATTGGAAATTAGCGAATGTTGTGCACATTCACAAGAAAGGTAATAGAGAGGAGTCAGGCAACTATAGGCCAGTAAGCCTTACTTCAGTAGTAGGGAAAGTGATGGAAACCATGTTAAAGGATAGGATTGTTGAACATCTAAAAACACATGGATTTCAAGATCAGATACAACATGGGTTTACTTCAGGGAGATCATGCCAAACTAATCTTATTGATTTTTTTGATTGGGTAACTAAAATTAGCGTGGTGCAGTAGAGATTGCTTACCTAGATTTCAGTAAGGCTTTCGACACTGTTGAAGGCTTATCAATATCACATAGAAGGCTTATCAATAAACTGCAATCTTTAAGTTTGGATTCCAATATTGTTCAATGGGTAAGGCAGTGACTGAGTGACAGGCAACAGAGGGTTGTAGTCAATGGAGTATATTCGAAGCTTGGTCTTGTCACCAGTGGGGTACCTCAGGGATCTGTACTTGGACCCATTCTCTTTAATATTTTTATTAGTGATAGTGCAGAAGGTCTTGATGGTAAGGTATGCATTTTTGCTGATGATAATAAGATATGTAACAGGGTGGATGTTCCAGGAGGGATAAGCCAAACGGCAAATGATTTAGGTAAACTAGAAAAATGGTCAGAGTTGTGGCAACTGACATTTAATGTGGATAAGTGCAAGATAATGCATCTTGGATGTAAAAACCCAAAGGCAGAGTACAGAATATTTGATAGAGTCCTAACCTCAACATCTGAGGAAAGGGATTTAGAGGTGATTAGTTTTGATGACTTAAAGGTAGGCAGACAATGTAATAGAGCAGCAGGAAATGCTAGCAGAATGCTTGGTTGTATAAGGAGAGGTATTAGCAGTAGAAAGAGGGAAGTGCTCATGCCATTGTACAGAACACTGGTGAGACCTCACTTGGAGTATTGTACGCAGTACTGGAGACCGTAACTTCAGAAGGATATTGATACCTTAGAGAGAGTTCAGAGAAGGGCTACTAAACTGGTTCATGGATTGCAGGATAAAACTTACCAGGAAAGGTTAAAGGATCTTAACATTTATATAGCTTGGAGGAAAGACGAGACAGGGGGGATATAATAGAAACATTTAAATACATAAAAGCAATCAACACAGTAAAGGAGGAGACTATATTTAAAAGAAGAAAAACTACCACAACAAGAGGACATAGTCTTAAATTAGAGGGACAAAGGTTTAAAAATAATATTAGGAAGTATTACTTTAGTGGATGCATGGAATAGCCTTCCAGCTGAAGTGGTAGAGGTTAACACAGTAAAGGAGTTTAAGCATGCGTGGGATAGGCATAAGGCTGTCCTAACTATAAGATAAGGCCAGGGACTAATGAAAGTATTTAGAAAATTGGGCAGACTAGATGGGCCGAATGGTTCTTATCTGCCGTCACATTCTATGTTTCTATGTTTCTATGTTTCTCTCTTCTGTGTACCTCTGATACCCTTGATTTTAGCCTGCTTCTAGTTTATTCTTTGTCTGCTTTCAGACATACTATCCTAGTCACTAGCCAGGCCACTCTAAAGACTGGTACGTGCTTCTGCCTTGTGTCACTTTTGGTGTTAAGGTAAGCTAGTCCTTGCAGCAGCACAGTGGACAAATTTAGGCAGGTGTGAAAAAATGCTGTAAAGTAAGAATGTTTTCAAAAACAGACATGTTAAGTGAATGGATGAAAAATTTAAATCAAAGCATCAATTCTTCCAGATACACTTCCACAAGGTTTTGTAAAGAACTCAGCAGGTTCCAAGCATCATTTTTATGTGGATATAAAGAGACTCAGCTGCTTTTGTCTCTTCATGTTATCAGACAGAAAGATTTGATGATGTTAAGAGCTGGGCTCTAGGGGGGGGCAACTATAACTTCCAGGACTCCTTGTTCTAATGACAATTTTTAATAACTTGCCACATGTTTGAGGATTTTGTCATGCTGCAGAATACTGTATTTGCCTACAGATTCCCACTGGTTTGTATTAATCTGAGCTGATGGCACTGCTGAA